TGGGCCAGTTCCCGCCCAGTAACCTACTGACTGGAGATTTGGACCTAATGGCTGTGCAGAGCCTGCTTGATAAGGGAGAGGGCTGGAGGAGACTGTGGAGAGCAAAGGAGGTCTCAGATGGGGATATAGGGAAGTCAGCTGTTGGATCTAAGGCAGGGATCCCTCTCACTAACAGATCACCAAAACTCTCTCCAGAGAAGAAGGCTTCACAGGTGAGACCTGGTGTCCAAGCTACATCTGGAAACTGCTGACAGGGCCAAAGAAGCTAGTTCTGAAAACGAATGAACCAAAAATAAATAAATAAATTTTAAAAAAGAATGAACTAATGCTTCAAGGGACGAATGGCATAGCCTAGGGTTTTGGGTTTTCTGTTTGTCAAGACAGGGTCTCACTGTGTCTCCCTGAGCCTCAGCTTTTCCTCCTACAGATTGGAATAATGTTATCAGTCTACAGTATCCATCACCCAGAAGGGCTCCTGGTTATTGCTATCTCCGTCGCCTTTATTTATCTATTTTGTGTACATGGTATGTGCAGGTTTTTATGTTCATAAGCATGTATGCAGGCACATATGCATATGTGTGCGTGCCCACGTGGAGGCCGGAGGTCAAGCCTAGTTCCTCACGGCTGCCCACCTTTGTTGTTTTGGGTTTGTTTGTTTGTTCTGAGTTGGGGTGGCAGGGTTTCTAGAAACTGAGGCTCATCACTTAGATGAGGGTGGCATTCTGGGGAGTCTCTGCCTCCCAGAACTTGGATTACAGGTACCTAATGCCCTGCTGGGTTTGGGGGTTTTTGTTTGTTTCAGACAAGTTTCTTTGTGTGGCCTTGGCTGTCCTAGAACTCCCTTGGTAGAGCAGGCTGGCCTCGGGTCTCACAGAGATAGATCCCCTTGCCTCTGCCTCTTCCTGAAAGCTGGGGTTGAAGGCGTTGGCCAACCATCACCCTGCCCAGCTTGCCCACTGTGGATCCTGGGGATGAAGCCTGGACCCTCACACGTGCTTGGTTAGCAATTTACCAACTGAGCCATCTCCCTAACCTCCTCCGGGGCCTTTAGTACCTAACTTCCCCCACCCCATGTTTACAGAGGCAGTGTGCAGAGGATCATGGGTGCCTCGTCCTTACCCTCCTTTTATTTCCCATCTGACCACTCAGTTGGATAGAGTCAAACAGAGACACATCCCTGAGGGTCCACTGGACGAACCTGAATCTGAGATGTCACCAAACTCGCTGTCTCCACCAGGTGGCACTAGACACCGAGGCCTTATTTATTTGTTTGACAAATATTTCATGGCTGCCCCTTGTTGTGCCAGGCTCTGGGCCCAAAGATAGGATCATGGAGATAAAAATGAAACAACTTCTCCTTTCTGGGAGCGCATGGTTTCGTAGGAAACATGTAAACAAAGACAGAAGAGGAAAAAAGATTCCCTTAAAAGGTGAAAATAGCTGCTAAAGTCAGAGCCCAGATCTCAAGGATCTGGTGAGACACTGACTATGGCTTTCCATCCATCAGACACAGATGAGTGGCAGACAGGTGAGTGACTCAGAGGTGCTAGACCCCAGCCCTGCTTGCTCCCTCTCCCCTTGAGGAATTCTAGTGGTCCATGAGCAGGGAGCTCTTGAACATTCCAGAGATGGGGCTGGGAACAAAGCTCAGCCGTAGAATGCTTGCCTAACTCACACAAAGCCCTGGGTTCCATCATGCAGCAGGAACTGTGGTACACACTTCGAATCCCAGCAGCACTCAGGAGGTGGAAGCAAGAAGATCAGAAATTCAAGGTCATCTTTGTGTCCTTAGCTATATAAGGTAGCTAAGTCCCAGGCCAGGCTGGGATGCATGAGGCCACCTCAAATAAATAAATAAATAATGAAAATAAAAATTCCAGGATGTCCCTACATGGGACATATCTGGAGTGGACAGGGCATAGCCTTAGGTTGTCTGGCCCTTTTCTACCCCACAAAGATAAGCCTTTGTAAAGGCTTCCTGTCACTCAGCTGTTGAGTTTTTGTTGTTTTGTGGTGTGTGTGTGTATGTGTGTGTGTGTTTGCATGCACGTGTCTTGAATAGCGTTCCATTTATCCCTCTGAGGGTCACAAGACAGAGGCTGTGTTCAGCCAAGCATGGCCTGTCCCCTGCTGTGACCTGCAGCTCAGCACCTGTTGCCCAGACTCTCCCTGACCTTGGGCCCTGACTGTGGGTCTTTCTGGTAGCCCAGATACCTTGATCCAGTGTACAGCAAACAGACCTGTGCAGCTGGCATTCCTGTTCCAAGACAACTCGGCTCAACAGGCAGGAAGCTGGCAGCTGGCAGTCACTTGTTGCCTGTGTTGTAGCTAAAGGTCAGGGTTCCCAGGCTGCCCCTCAGCAGGGAAGAACCTCAGAAATAAAACAGAACCTGGGGCTATATGGACTCCCATGGTCCCTGTGTGGGTGGCTCAGGGGACCCCTGTAGCCCCTAGCTAGGGGACCAGACCTCAGCCCAGGGGTTAGACAATCCTAACCAGCATTTGCCACATCATCAAACATTTTTTGGTCATCACAACCTTGAACTTGCTGGAGACCCTGGCATCTAGTGGACAGAGGGTCCCACTCAGCATCCTACCACACACAGCACCCAACAAAAGAATATTCTTTCTTCCCAAATGTCAGCAGTGGCAGGCTGAGGAGACTGTCCCCTGAAGCCCAGCCAAGACAGTGGAGAGTCTCCCTCCCTAGGCTGGCTGGTCCAGGCATCGGCCTCTTTGCAGACTGGGACCCGCTTCCTTGAGCTAGGCTGAGACATACATGATCTTGGGCTGGTGGAGCGGATGGGAGAGAGCATCCAAACAATCTCAATCCCAGGCTCTAAGGATGGAAAAGGATGGGGGCAGCCCTGCCCCCAACAACCCCCACACTCCTTTCAACACCCCACCCCTAGTCCCCACCCTTGCCCAGGCATGGGCAGGTACAGAGACAGTTAGCACTGGCTGGCGCCCAAGGGGATCCATTGCAGGGTTTGGGGTGGGGCTTAGGTGAGAGTAGGGGCAACCTTGGTTGGCTGGGAAGGTGGGCTTCACAAGGAGAGTGACAGTGGGGCTCCAGATGTTCAGGCCCACCTCTCCCACCCCTCCCCATCCCAGGAGCCTAAGAGAGACCGGGGGCATTTGTGGTGTAAAAGGAGGCAGAGGATCTCCTAAGGGATCCAGGAGGATCCTGGCTGAACCTCTCAATCGGGACTCAATATAAAACCTTTCCAGACTCTGACCCTCTCCAGCATCCTGATGCACACTCCTGCCCCTTCATGGACCCAGCAGGGAACAGCTGTGTCCTGCAGCCAGACAGCTGGCTAGGATGAGCCTCCTCTGCCCCTCGGCTCCTCTATGGCCCCATAGTGGCCTTTCATCTGGCTGGTTCTACTGAAGAGCTTGGGCAGAGGCTGCTGTCTCTTCCCAGCTCAGAGCAGGACAGAGTCAAGCCATGCTATGAGGTTGCCCTGGGACCCAGGGAGTTGCTACAACTCTGGAATGGCTAGCTAAAGCCTCTAGAACTTCTTCAGAGCTTGGGTCTCTTCTGGTAAAAGAGAGGGACCACAGCTGCTCCTCTTGATGCACCAATAGGTACTTGGGGGATGGTTGTCTGATCCCAGCCATCAAGCCTGGCTACTTGGATTTCCTGTCCAAGTAGACTACCCAAGGCCTTTCCCCTTACATATCAGGGAACAGCCTAGATAAACCAACATATACCCCCAACCCACGCCCCGCCGCGGACCCAGTGCCTGGGACAAGCTGAGATGGAGATGTCCAAGGACAGCAAATGATCCAGTCTAGAGGCCGGCTAGTCTAGGGAGGACATGCTGAGTGTTTGCTTGACTGATCTTCCTGTGAGTGCTCTCCTGTGTATCCAAAGGTTGTCACTCCTATTTTTCAGATGAGAGGAGACTGGGGGAAAGTGAACCGGGCTGTCCAAGGCCACAGTTCATAAGCGCCCTTCGGTTTCTATATATCGTATAGAAATCTCCACTCTGCAGAGCCACTTCCTGCTACAAGGGTAATTGAGTCTCGGGTCCCACCTCTTTGAGACGGCTGGTACCCTCCCCCCCTTAATTACTGACACCCCAACGGGACCCCCACACACTTCTGCCCATTAACAGATACCTTTCCTCAATAAGGATGAGGTCAGAGCCTCACAGGGCCCAAGGAGGATGAGGTCAGAGCACTCCGGCTGGTGCAGATGCTAAATAATTCATGCTGCTGCTGTGTAAGCAGGGCTACAGCTTCCTGGAGGACCCAGCACTGAGACAGCAGACGACAGGAAGTCTGCCTAACAGCCCCCTGAGCACAACCTTGGTGTGCCCTCTGCGGAGCTAGAGAAAGTGGTGGTCTTGGTGAGAATGTTGGTTGGTGTTGGTGCGGTGACAGCCAGGCATGCCACCTAACCTTTCCATTTCTTGTTTTCTTCAGTGAGGAGCTAAAGGGCTGATGAACAAGTACAATGAGCCACAAGAGCAAGCTGGGTGTGGCCATGACAGGGCCCCTTGGCCTGGGGCAGCTGTGATCATCCCTGGCCCAGTGAGCCTTTCTGTGAACAAAGCATTTTATGAAGATGAAACGGGCTGTGCCCCTGCCTCCCCAGGCCAGGCATAGCTGGATTGTTATCTGAGGTGTCCCCTTTCCCACCCTATCCCTCCTACAGCTTGTGTGGGAACCATTTGTCTTTGTGCTTGGCTGGTTAAGAATTCAATGTTTGTTTTTTCCTTCTCATTAGGTAGCCCTGGCTGGCCTGGAACTCACAAAGCTCTGCCTGCCTCTGTCTTCCAAAGTACTTGATTAAAGGCTCACAACACCAAGCTGAGAATGCACTGTGTTGGGAGGCCTGGTTTCCTCCCTTAAAGTCTCTAACCAAAGAGAAGTTGTTGGAATCAAACAGCTGTTGCTGGTATAGATAGACTTGGAGGATGAGGAGTCCGAGGCAGGCAGGCCAGCTGACAGACATCCCACAATCCCTTAGGAACACACAGAAACACAGAGCCAGTGACCCCTGACACACAAAGGGCAGCCATTTAATTCTGAGTAGTTACAAAGTTGAACCTCCCATTTACATCCGCTACAAGATGTAACAGCGTTTGCTGTGACACCTACCAAGGTTATTTGCCTGCAAGTAGTGAACTTGAACCAGGCCTGGGCCTACTCCTCTCCCACTCAAGGCTTGTCTGTGACACAAAGCTGTAAACTAGGAGGTCCCCAACCCTCCTTAAAAAATGTGCTTCTCCACTGGAACCGGAACTGGAAGGCACAGGGTAACCGGTGGGAACTTCTGGGTCCAGGCAGGCCGGCATCTTCCAGGAGGGGCCCATCATTCCTCAGCCTCACTGCGGGCAGAACTTGGGCTATGAACACAGCCACACCCGTCACACGCTGCACACTGAGGCACCTGGTGCTCACTCAACAGAGAGGTCAAGGCAGGAGGAGCCACATTTGGAGGTACAGTCCTACTCTGGGGGACCTTTCACTCAATGCTAAAAGGCACAGGCTGCTGAGGACAGCATGAGGGCTAAGCACTAAGCCGGGGTGCCTTCCTGGGAAGCTGCTCATCTTTACCTCTACACTTGCACTGAGTAGTGCTGGGCTAAGAGCCAGGCTCCAGGGCACACTTAGGGGGGCCACGGAGGAGGAAGCTCTGTCTGGTATCCCAGGGTAGAACAAAGGACAATGGTGTGGAGATCTTGGTTCCAGGGTCTGGACTATGGCCATCTTAGTCATTGGTGTCAGCAGCTCGCAGGCCTGGAAATGGACCTCTCTGACCTGGGTGGCCATCAGGCTCCCTCAGGTACATGTCCTAAGGCCAAGGACACTAGAGGCTCCACTAGTGATGAAAGTAGCAGGGCAGGTCCAGGCGTCCTGAGGACATCTGCTGCCCAAGCGGAGGTAGAAACTTAGACATCTTTCCACAAGCAATCTGCAGTCCTGGACCACACACCCCACCAAGTCTGACACAGGAAAGGGGCAAATCACCCTGAGAACACAGCCCTGACTCCCACCCAGCATCTCCTAAGGGTGGCCCCAGACTCCAACCACACGTCCAGGGACCTCCAGAACCTGTGAGGTCTAGGTAATTCAGAGATATCCACAAGTGCAGCTGACCCAGGAGCTATCCTGGGAGCCAGTACCGAAGCCAGGAGCAGACTGTGGGGATGTGGCCGGGGGTGGGGGTGCTAACTGAGGTACATAAATGGTGCAAAGCCCTAAGCACCAAAGTGGCCCGCTAGCTCTTCAACTCTTGTGTGGGTTCTCTGTGCGGCAGTACTGGACAATGAAAGCATCCCAGTTGGGACGAGTGTTGTGACTCCCATTCCGAGTGGTGCCGGCCAGCGGGGAGGACAGAACAGGTAAAGTGGTCCTGCCCTGGTGATGGGACACAACCCGCCAAAGGTGTGGTAGACTCGGTCCAGGTGCAAAGGCGCCAGGACCTGGGGCCCTCAGGTCATGAGAAGCAGCCTTCCCAACCTGGGCTCTGCCCTTAGCTGGTGACCTTCCACAGTCTAGCAGGTGGCAGAAGGCCCTGAGTAGGGCAAGGGACAACTCCTGTGTGGCTTGTCTCCACAGACTCACAAAGATCCATCTGACGTGCATTTGTGTGGCACATTGATGGCCAAGAAGGTCCAGTGTCGAGGCAGTAGTGTCACACAGCCAATGTTCACAGCCGGACAAGAACCACCTGGAGAACCGCATGGGGACACAGATTCTGTGACTTGGGGCACGAGTTAAGGCAGGAGATGGTAGTCAATATTTAGCTCCCTGTAGCTGCAGTCACTTGGGCACCAGGAGGCTGGGATGGGCAAGGGGGTAGGTAGCTCTCTGAGCACCAGTCGCATGCCTATCTCAAGGTCCCCACTCAGTCCACTGCTTCAGATTGGTGGCCTCTGGTCCCTCCCAGCTCCAAGGACAAAGGTGGGATAGCTGCTGGGCCCTGCTCAGCTGGATGCAGAGCAATGAGGGTATCCGGATGAGGTGTGGTCCAGGGAAGAGGGCATCTACCATCTCGTTTTATTTTTCGGGGACTGATCCTAAAGTAACCAGAAAGAACAAGAGTCAAAAGGGAGGGACACTGCTGCTCAAAGCCCACGTCCTGGATTGTACTAAAAACAGAAAAAAGAGAGAAAAAAGTCTAAGTCCTCAGGGAGTGATACAATCTAAATACAGAAGTTTGGGAGAAGTCTGGAGTTTTGTTCCAATAACCTTTTTTCCCCCCTTTCCCCCCTTACAACTGATGTCAGAAAATAGCTTGTGGCTAGTTGCAGATAAACACTCCCAAGCCTGGCTCTTAAGTCCCCTTGAAGAACCTGGATCTGGCATCCAAGGGCCAGAACATTGTGCTATCCATTAGGAACAGAGGCAGCTCAGAGCCCAGGCCACTGGTCTAGCATATCCCAGGAAGGGTCAAGAACAAAAGCTGGGATGTCAATCTGTCCAGTTTTGGTCTAGCCACCTAGAGGCTCTGAGGCCATACAACTAAGGTTCCATATAATCCTCAAGTGATAGCTTTCTGAGATTTTGGCTCTGGAAATGGAAGGAAAGACTGATCTTGTCCCGATGTCATCCTTTCCCACCCCCTAACATGTCCCACCAGCCATGGAGATGAGCCTGAGCTGTTGAAGAAACACTTTTACTGATTCCTAAATTGTAAGCACATGAATGCTGTGACCCTTGAACCAACCAGGACCTGGCCTGACAGCCTTGTCTTTATGAACAGCTCAGGCCCACGCTAAGCCATCCCACTCACTCTTATGAAGCATGATCTCAGAGCCTGGAGCAGGATGGAGGTCCGCCTCACCCTCTAAAGTATACTAACTTCCTGTGGGAGAGGCCAAGGTGAGCTGACCCCCTAGAACTCCCCACTGGTGGGTCTGCCTTCCAACTTCTGTCTCTGAATATAGGCATGGAAAATGAGAGCCAGGTCAGACACTCCTGGTGCAGAGCTCCATCCCAGACAAGAAGAACCCAGATGATCATTCTGATGCCAATCAATGGCAGATATACCAGAGAGCCCTGCCCCAGAGGAGGTACCAGCCCCTTACTACCTGAGACCCAAGAAGCATGAGCCCTGAGAACTGAATGTGAGGAAAGAGGGGCCCACTGATCCCCACAGAGAAAGGAAGAAATTACAGGAGGTGAGAACTCAGTCAGAAATCACAAGCCTAGAGCAAGAGTTAACAAAGCAGAAATGTTTATTAGGCACCCTTGCTCCTCACAGAGGAGCAGGGTTCAGCTCAAGGCATTCCTTCTGAGCTCGCTGGAGGCTGAAAGTGTCACCAGAAAGTGTAGCCTCGAGACCAGCCACCACCCCAAGCAGAACACTATTTGGATGGAGTACATCACCAGAGGGGCCCCGGCATGAAACAAGGCAGGCACCTGGACTCCACAAATACTGAGTGGGAGGGCCCCCCAGGATACCCACCCGAACATCAGGGGATGCTCAGATCAGGGGACCTGAACCTGAGGCACAAGCTACCCTGAGCCAGTGGGGGGGGAGCCACAGAGCAAGGGTCCCTAGTGGTCCCTCACCCAAGCCAGGTCCTGAGCACCCCCTCTAAATCCACCCACTTCCTTCTGACCAGGGCGGCTGCCTCAGTCCCACACATAGGGGTTTCTAAAGACCTGAGAGATCTTGCTGTCTTTCGGTGGTGTGGCCACCTGGTGGCTCTGGACCATGTACATGTCTTCGGCTCGCAGGGTTGAGTTGGCACTGCCCATCACCTGGCTGTTGGCGGTGGCCCGTGGGAGGATGACATCATAAGCGCCTTCAGACTGGAAGGAAGAACAGGCGGTCTCACAGTCAGGGGATCAGGAGCCAGGTTCCGCCAGGGCAAAGGTGCAAACACCCAGCTTCCTGCAGGGCTGTGCCTGCCAGTTCCCACTTCTTGACAGCTCCACCCCGGCTCCGCCAAGGCCTTGCCGCCACATTGGGAAGCATGACCCTACCTCTGGAAAGAGAGGACTGGCCTTTCAAGCATGGATGAAAGTCCCTGGCCACCTTGGGGCTTCCCAGGAGACCCTGTCCCTGAGTGCCTGCTCCTAGGTCCTTGAGGAAACCTTGGGTCCCATGGAGAGACTGCTGCACCAAGCTAGTACTGCCTGACTGCTACCATTCACAGGATCCCTTCCTCCAATGTCTTACTTGAGTCTCCAAAATGTCACTGCAATACCTGGTTACCCTTCTGGTAGGTCCTGGTTCATATTAACTCTGACCTAGGAATCCGGCCCCAAATGTTCTACCAGGAAGGAATGTGACCTCCTGGGATGGTCCCACCTCTCTTATCACAGTAGAAGACAGATGTTACCACCAAAGCTTTGGGGCTCCCAGGACCCCAAGCTAGCAGTTGTCTTTTCAGATCTGGGTGCCCTTCCCACCTGTGTGTGTTGGGGGAGTGGGAGGGGTCCCACTTACTGGAACATCCAACCCCTCCCTGTTGTCTAGGACACATCTATCTGGGAGCTTCAACACGGGAATGCACCAAAATTAACAGAACTGTTTGTCAAGCCCCACCCCCCCAGCTGAGCTCCACCCCTAGCTGGGGCCCACCCTGAGACAGGCTGTCAAATGTTTAACTACTGGGATGGGAAAGCCCTGAAGGTCCCTGTAGATATGCCTTGGGGAGTTACTCCCTTCTAGGTGGAAGCCAAACTACCAGATGATGTCAACAGCCCCCACCCCCACCAACACAGAAGTCACAGTACTCTGTCCCACCTCAGACCCAATCTGCATTTTCGGCAAGTTCTCAATTGCTGCTCACTCTGGGGTGTGAGAACTGAGCAGAAACAGCAGCCCAGTACAGCTCACCCTCCAAACTGGGAGAGAGGCTGGGGGCAGAGAGGTAGCCTCTGCTCGTGGAATGAAGGGAAACGGCCCAGCGCTGCTGTTCCTGCGTACAGCTTCACACTTGGCAGAAAGCTGGGGCTGGAAGTCTCAGACACACCAGCCACCCCCTGCTCCCAGCCCGGGAGGTGGGGAAGGGATGGGAACAGCACCCCCGCTGACCTCCTGGCTTCCTGTTCTCAGAATCCTGCCAAGGCAGGTCGCTGACCTCTCTGGCAACCGCTGCCGGCAGAGAGGAGGAACATATATGGAGTGGGAATCCATCCCACCTCCTTCCTGTTCCCACCGCGCCTCTGGCTAATGGAATATTCGCTCCCAGAGCCCAGGAGAGGTATAAAGGTCAACTCTTGATGGCCAGGCATGCAAATAAGGTCTCATGTAGCCCAGGCTGGTGGTGCAAGCTGTAGCTAACAACTGTCCTTAAACCCCTGGGCCTCCTGCTTCCACTTCCCAAGTGCTAGAATTACAGATATGTGCTACCATGCCTGGGCCTGGGGCTGTGGGGGATGCCGGTGGTGCAGGGAGGCCCCAGGGTTGATGCCCCCAGAAGCTGGTCATACCCCAATGCCTGTCTCCCAGAAGATGAGGCTCGGCTCTGTGGCTATCGGTCAAGTCACAGGGACCTGAGGGACCCACTCACCGGGCCTTTGTGCATCAGGGCCATCTCGGTGGGCTGGTACACGCTGGTCAGCAGCTGTCCATTGTAGCCACTGTAAGGTGACACCGGTCTCTTTGCTGTGGGGAAAAAGAAGCTCAGTTTTGAAGATTTCTGGACTCTCTTCTGCTTCACTCCCATAGACCAAGCAACTCTCCCACGAATTGGAAAGCAGGGCCTTGAGGCCCTGGTGTAACACCGGGCCCAGGAGTCTGGGTGACCTGCTAGTGAGACCGTGGACCTGCTTGCTCTCCCATGCCTGGGGCTCTTTTGATTAGGTGTACAGAAAAGCCCTGCTTGGCTCCCAGCATTATGGGACACCCCTCCTCTCCCCATAGCTCAGAAAAAACACGCTGTCAGCAACCTTCACATCCCTATCTACCCTCAGGGCCAGAGGCCAAGAGGGACACATGGGCCTTCGGCTGCCTTCCAAGATGGCCAGCCTCCAGTTCCCGCCTCTGCCACTACGGACCCACTGCCAGGCACAAGGGCAAGTACAGCTGAGACCCCACAGCTCTTTATACGTCCGTGTCGTCACAGGGCACGGGTGGCTGCTAGTGCCACTTTGCAGCCACAAAGAGCCCAGCCAGGGAACTTGGAGCTCTGCCCATCCTGGGGCCCCCTGGCTAGTACCCAGAGAGGTATGGAACTCTCTGAACTGTCTGGTGGGCTTCCTGTTTGATCCACACTGCTGGGCACCACTGTGGTATCTGAGGAGTGCTGCTAGCTAGCCCTGTGGCCCAGGAAAAGGCCTTCCTGAGGGGCCCGGGCATACAGAATTCTGCTGACTCCTGCAGAGCTTTGGGACCAAAGCCTACACAGGACTCCTAAGTGCTGGAGTTAGTGCTCCTTAGTGCTCCTCATGTTATTGATTTTCCCTTTTTGGAAAAAAAAAAATGAAATAAATAAAAATCTTACAGTCTAGAAATTTCTCCATGAAAAGAGAGAGAAGGACTAGGAACTCTCTGGCCTGATATGGAGCTAGGAGAGGCCATGGGGGTGGGGTGGGGGTGAGGGTGAGGGTGGGGATGAGGTGGAGATGGGGGTAGGGTTGGGAGTGAGGGAGGCAGGGTTCACTGCTCCTCCCGGTGCCTGCCTAGTCCCTCTTTCTGACTTCCTTAATGACCCTTAATGCCTCTATTCGGCAGAAGCAACCCCAGTGTGGGGAAAGCAGTCATCCCGATGGAGTGAGATCACAAATTATGTATGTGTCACCGCTTTCCACAAAGCAGGATGAGGCCCACAAGATGTGCACAGAAGACCGTAGGATTTCTGATTCTACAATGTTCATTGCCTCCCATTGAATTTCTGCCAGGGACGCCAGAGCCATGTGATAACCGGGAGTCTAAAGCCCCCACCCATCCTAATCAACACAAACAGCTGGGGTTCTGCAGAGCTCCGGTCATGCCGGAGGGGGCTGCAACTTATGCGGCACAAGACCCTGTGTCTTAGCACAGAGCCCAGATTTCTGATAAACGCTAGCATAGCATTCCTTATAGTTAAAGAATGTGCCGGCGTGGTGGTGCACACCTTTAATCCCAGCACTCTGGATGCAGAGGTAGGTGGATCTTTGTGAGTTCTTGGCTAGCCTAGTCTACAAAGTGAGCACAGGGACAGCCAGGGCACTGTTATACAGAGAAACCCTGTCTTGAAAAACCAAAGGGGGGGGGGGAGAAAAAAAAAAGGCACCACTGAGGCCAATATGGGCCATCATGAGTGCTCTTTGTGGTGCTGGAAACAGAACCAGGGGCTTGGGTCTACTACCACTGAGCTAGCTACAGATTCCATCCATGAATGCTGAGGCTTTAAAGCAGAAACTTACATTCTTTTTAAGGGAATGGCTCCCTACCTTACAGTAAAAGGCATGAGGTTAAAGGATGGCCCAGGCAGGTAAAAGCACTTGCCACCAGACCTGACCACCTGAGTCTGGTTTCCAGAACCCACAGGGTAGGAAAGAAATGTCCGACAAAAAAAGCTGGGAAACTGGACGTTGGTGGTTCACATCTTTAACCCAGCACTAGGGAGGCAGAGGCAGTAGGATCTCTGTGAGTTCAAGGCCAGCCTGGTCTACAGAGCAAGTTCCAGGATGGCCAAAACAGAAACCCTGTTTAGAAAAACAAAAAGCTAAACAAAATAAAAAGCTGGAAATGGTGACACATGCTATAATCCCAGCAACTGGGAGAAGGATCAGCTGATCAAGAGCCAGCCTCAGCTACATAGTGAGTTCGAAATCAGCCTAAGCTACATGAGATGCTGTCTAGTCTCACACACAGGCACACCCCAACGCACACATACACACCCCCACAAAGACAAATACAAAGTCTTTGCCACACCTGAGGCTGGCTCATCCATAGAAAATGCCTTGTTCTCCACAAACATGCTTTGGCTCGTCTGCTCTTTCAGGATGGTCTCGTAGCCCACACCTCGGGTAGGGTACATGTCGCTCTGGTAGCTCTGTTCTGGGCTGGGTTTGGTCACCTGGGAGACCTCAGGGATGACGTAGAAGAGGACAAAAATCCAAGCATTGGCAGCGAGGGCAATGGCCAGTGTGGGGTCATCCCAGGTGGGGCTATGGTACTGCTCATTGCCATAGGTGTACATGACAATCCATACCACCCAGATGGCAATGGAGATGGCTGTGGTAAGCAGCACAAAGACCCCGTGCTTCCGCCAGCGCTTAAAGCGGCCACACAAGGTGGGCCAGGCTCCTAGGAAGGCTCCCAACAGCAGCAGCATTACGTAGATGAGCGCCATGACAAAGTCCGTGTTGGCGATGGCACAGGGCGAGGTCATGGTCCAGTCGGTACCATTGCCATTGCCCAGAGGGTTGACCTGGCCACCTCCCCGTACCAGGGTGATGATCAGCCACTCAGTGTTGATAATGACCTCCACCAGGGTGAGTAGCAGGGCCACGGTGAAGAGCACCCAGCCTCGGGGCCCATGGTTCTTCCGGGCTAGAGAATTGAGGGCAAAGACGTGGGCTACCAGGCAGGAGAAGCAGATGGCAAACAAGACCCCGAAGAGGAAGCGTCGAGAGGCGCAGGTGGAGAAGTCAGGCTTAACCACGCAGGCGAACACAAGGCAGAAGAGGCCCAGGGTGCCCAGCAGGAAGAACACCTGGGTCCCCAGGGGGCTCCGCTTCTTAGTGTCCTCCACAAACGGGACGCTGGCCACGAGGATGATGGTGAGCATAAATGTGGTGACAACGCCTGCCCCGGCCACTGCCTCCAAGACGATGCCCCAAGCCCCTGAGCGGTCACAAAGGTTGTAGTACAGGGGATCCAGGTCCGGGCTGCAGCCAGGGGGGGCATGGTGCTGGGCCACGGCCCCTGGGAAGAAGAGAGGCAGTCCTAGGTATATCAGCAAGGTTTTGTGGGCCACCATCCTGGCTCCCAGGCCAGGCTTCAGCTGGGTCCCTAGAGACAGGAAGAACAGACCAACATCAGTCCTCCAAGGTCAGATATCAGAGAGCAATCCTGAACAAGAGTTGATGAGGGAAGCCAGGCAGTGGTGGCGCACACCTTTAATTCCAGCATTCGGGAGGCAGCAGCAAGAGGTTCTCTGTGAGTTCGAGGCCAGCCTGGTCTACAGAGTGATTCCAGAACAGCCAGGACTACACACAGAGAAATCCTGTCTTGAAAAAAAGAGTTGTTGAGGAGACATGGTTCTCTAGGCTTCCAAATCCTTATTTCATATATTTTTAACTTTAAAAATTATAAAAATATTTTTATGTATATGGGTGTTTTGCTTTCAAGTATATCTGTGCTCCTGATGCCTGTGGAGGCCAAAAGATGGTGTTGGATCCGTGGAACTGGAGTTCCATGTGGTTGCTGAGAATTGAACATAGGTCCTCTAGTACAGTAACAAATGTTCTTAACCACTGAGAGAGATGAAGGCCATCTGTCATTCCTATTCCTTTTCTTTTTTTTTTTTTTTTTGACAAGGTTTATCTGTGTAACAACAGCCCTGGCTGTTCTGCTGTTCTGGAACTCTGTGGACCAGGCTGGCCTGAAACTCAGAGATATATCTGTCTCTGCCTTCATAGTGCCGGGATTAAAGGTGTGTGTCACCTCTTCCCGATGTCAACCCTATTCCTAACCACAGAAAAGGAGAAATTTCTTAACTGCTGGAGAGCTGGATCTGTGGTTAAGAGCTCTGGCTGCTCTTTCAGAGGACCCAGGTTCGATTCCCAGCACCTACATGAAGGCTTACCCACAGGACTCCAGTCTCCTCCAGCACTGTACAAACATGGAACATACACATAGGCAAAACACTCATACATATACAATAAAAATAAGCTTTAAATCCACCAATGAACTTTCAGTGCCCTCCTTTGCCCATCAAAACCTGGGTTTAAATATGAGATCTTGCAGAGAGAAGCCAAGTACAGCACCACTCAACACAGCTCTATCTGCCTGGGACTTCCAGGACTCAGGTCAGTTACGGCACCCTTCCACTAAGTCCTTGAAATGCTGACAGCCACTGTGATGGTTACTCTTGGTTGTTAACTTGACTACATCTGGAATTAACTAAAAACCCAAATGGCTGGGCACACCCGTGAGGGATTTTTATTTTCTTAATTAAATCATTTGAAGTGGGAAGACCCACTTCTAATTTGAATCTTTGAAGTGGGAAGAGCCACCTTTAACCTGGGCCACACTTTCTACTGGCAGCCTATATAAAGGGCATGGAACAAGACGAAGGCTCTTTCTCTTGCCCTGCTCGCCCTCACTCTAACTGGCAAGTCCTTTCCTTCACCGACCTTACAGCAAAGGAATTCTGCACAAAACCCTCAGGATTCTGGCGTATAATGAAGACCAGCTGAGACATCCAGGACTGAACAAATACTGGGTTCCGTGAATAGATAGCAATTGTTGGACTAGTTAGACCACAGCCTGTAAGCCTTACGATGTGCGTGTGTGTGTGTGTGTGTGTGTGTGTGTGTACTTTCACTCTATAAGTTCAGTTCTCTAGAGAACCCTAATACAGCCACTTAGGTATGCATTCCTCCGCTCAAAGTTCTTAACAAACACCTATAGCAGGAATAACCTACAGCTGGGGGGGGAGGAAATAGTTGAAAATTAGCTTCTCAGCTGTTCTAGTTTGCTTTTTGTTGCTTCGATAAACATAATGAACAAAAGCAACTTGAGGAGGAAAGCGTTTATTTGGTTTACATGCTCTATCAGCAAGAGAAGCTAAGGCAGGAACCTGGAGACAGGAAATGAAGCAGAGACTATGGGAGGATGCTGTTTGCTTTCCTTAGTTTATTTATTCGGCCTTTTCTTCCTTCCTTATTCATTTGTTGTTTATTCATGAGCCGGGGTGTTGCGATGTAGCCCAGGCTAGCCAGAACTCAGACTCCTGAGTGCTAGGATTACAGGCATAGGATACCAGACTGGCTTTTGTGTTTTTCACTTTTCGTGCCAACTTTCCTCTCCAGACTCTAGAGTTTACTGTCTAGCTCAATACTAAAGACAGGGATAACACAAATGGATTCAGCCTGGAGAGACGTCACAGAGGTTAACAGCACTTCTAGAGGACCCAGGTTGGATTCCCAGCACATGCGCGGTGCTAACTTCCATCTGCAGCTCCAGCTCCAGGGAACCTGACATCTTTCTTCTGCCCTCTACCAGCGTCAGGAATGCAAATGGTACACAGACACAGATGCAGGCAAAATACACACAAAATAAAAGTAAATCTCTAAAAATTAATAATAATAAGCAAGAGCCAGGCATGGTGGTGCACACGTTTAAGCTCAGAGGCAGAGACAAGTGGTTCTCTGTGAGGCCAGTCTGGTCTACACAGTGAGCCCCAGGCCAACAGTACACAGAGAAACCCTGTCTCAAAAAAGCCAATTAACTGACAAAAACAACAACAAAAAAAGCAAAACAAAAACAAATATACCTACACACACACACACACACACACACACACACACACACACACACACACA